TATCCCCCACCTCCACCTTCTCATAAGCTTGGCCATGAAGAGACAAGCCCTGAGATGGAAGCCTCATCAATCCTTTGAGCAGGACTTTGACAGACTTGCTTAGAGTTTCAAATCCTCACCTTTATCTGATCATTTCCGAGTTTACTCTTCCTGCCAGCTGGGCTGCACACTGTGTTTGTATAGTTTGAGTTCAAACTCATTTTCCAGTGAGCAACATTTAAACATCAGCTTCCTAGGAAGTTTCTGGAAGGGCAGTCAGATCTAGGTTAGGAGATACGACATTCTGCTTGTGACACTGGCTGTATTCTGGAAAGTTGACCTCAGCCTCTTCATTCAGCTGTGACCCATCATACCCTAGATGGACACTCTTGTCAACAAACCCTGTGTTTCCAGCTACCTGTATCTCCCAGTTCCCCAAATCGATATGCACCCCCACCCAACAGAAAACTCTGGGTCATCCTATATGTCTTGGCTTGGGTATGCCCCCAGGAAATGAGTCCCTTTTCTCTATCCCCATGATACTTTGGCACAACATACTGTCCTGGTTATCTTTGACTGTCAATTTGACACAGCCTAAAGTCATTTCAGAGGAGACACTCAGGGGAAGAATCACCTAGATTAAGTCAGCCCATGGGCATGTTTACAGGGATGTCATGATTGTCCATTGGTGTAAGAGTACCAAGCCCACTGTGGGTAGAGCCATTCCCTGGGAACTGACCCTCAGTTGGTGTAAGGAAGCTCGCTGACTATGAACCAGCCTTCAAACCAGCCAGCAAGCAGCGTTTCTTCATCATTTCTGACACGCTTCCTTGGTCAGGGCTAATGCTGTGTGAAACGGTAACGCTGTCTGCCTTCAAGGTCCGGCTGAGTTCCTCCTGCCTTGACTTTCCTCCATGCTGAACCGTGACCTGTGAGCTTTCCTCTAATGCGATTGAACCTCTATCAATCCATGGAATCAGCCTAATGATCAAAGGAATTTATTTTGGGGTAACTCACAAGACAGAACTAAGGGATTGTAGCAGGATCCTGG